AGTTCTCGCGGGAGGGCTCTGGCCCCCCCCCCCCCCCGGCGGTGGAAGTCCCCTTCCCACGCTTAAAATTTTAATTTCAGCCTCCAGCTGTTCACTGCTAGTAAACAGAAATACGTATGGAATTTTGTGCGTTGACCTAGACGTCTGTGACCCCACTAAAGGTACCTGTTAGTTCTAGTAGATTCCCTGCAGCTTCCTTCGGGATTCTCTGCGTAAGTAGTCAGCTCGCCACAACTAGGAAGTTTCCTTTCTTCCTTCCCAGCACGTGTGCATTTTATTCCTCTCTTGATTATACTGATTAGGACCCTCAACCTGATGCTGAATCGAAGTGGTCAGAGGGGTCCCCTTGCCTGGTTCCCGGGGGGACAGCATTCAGCCCTTTGCCATTAAGCCTGGTGTTAGCTGCAGGATTTGGCAGATGCCTTTTGTTTGTTTTTATTATTATTATTTTAATGTTTACTCATTTTTGAGAGAGAGAGAGGGAGACACAATCTGAAGCAGCTCCAGGCTCCGAGCTGTCAGCACAGACCCTGATGAGGGGCTCAAACCCACAAACTGCAAGATCATTACCTGAGCCAAGGTCAGATGCTTAACCAACTGAGACACCCAGGTGCCCTAGAAACTTTTTTTTGCTTTAATTTATTGTGAGAGCACACGTGTGCACACACACAGCCCAGTGAGGGCCTTGAGCTCAGGGACTGTGAGACCATGCCCTGAGCTAAAATCACTTAGCTAATTGAGCCACCAAGCACCCCAAAACTTTATTTATTAAAAATTTTTTTACAATGTTTTATTTATTTCTGAGAGAGAGAGAGGGAGAGAGAGAGAGTGAGTGAGCAGGGGAGGGGCAGAGAGAGGGAGATACAGAATCCAAAGCAGGCTCCAGGCTCTGAGCTGTCAGCAGAGCCCAAAGCGGGACTCGAACCCACGGACCGTGAGATCATGACCTGAGCTGAAGTCGGACGCTCAACTGACTGAGCCACCCAGGCGCCCCAACTTCTCTTTTTTTAAAAAAAATATATAAGCATTTAACAATTGTTTTTCCCTTAGAGGAAAAGCACTACTTTAGCTAGAATCCATAAATGCTAATGTCTTCATTTTCATTTGATTCAGAATACTCTCATTCCCCTTGTGAATTCCTCTGTCCCGTTCATCTTTTAATATTTGTGGGTCTTTCAGGGATGGGTCACTGATTTCCGGTCATTACATCATGAGAACATAACTGTGTAGGATTTCAATTTTTTAAAAAGTTTATTTGGTTTACCGCCTGGCCCAGAACACGGTCATGCCGGCGAGTGTCTGTGTGTGCTTGACCAGAGCGCGCTCTGCTCTGTGTGTCCCCACAGGACGGGCGTCTAACCGGAGACGCTCCTGGAGCCTCAGTCCTCCCAGGCTCTGCTTCTCGTGCGCTCGAGCCTGCCGCTCTGTGGTGCTCATTTCGGGTTGTGATCACATTAACCCCGCCCCCCCCCCCCCATCTCTGGTGATATTCTCGTCTTGAAATACAGTCCGCCGGTGACATAACCATTCTACCTTTCCTTTGATTAGTGTTTGCAAGGTGTATCTTCCCCCATCTTTTTCTTACCTGCTTTTATATCGGAAGTGGGCTTCTCATCAATAGCACAGAGCCAGGCGCTTTACTGTTGTTTTGTTTTTTAATTCCAATCTGTCAAACTGTCTTTAATTGGTGTGTTTGGACTGGTGATGCCTGACGTAGTTATTAAGAATTGAATGCAGGTTTCCCACCTTATTGTTGGGTTTGCTCCTAGCTCCTCCCCTCCCCCACCTTCTGTCGGGTTATTTGGTAACCTTAGTATCCCACGTTACCTCCTGACTCTTGGGCTGACCTCTGCACTTGAACTGGCCACACTCAAGATTTCCGCCTACATACTGCCCCTCTCACGGCTGATGTGGACTCACCCCCACCCTCGTGGCCCGGTGGTCGGGCACCCACGGAGGCTGAAAATCCCACCTGTGTTAGAAGTTCTGCTTTCAACAACCACACATGCATTTTTTAAAACGTAAAAGGGAAAATTATCTTTTATATTTACTCAGGTGTCGGCCATTTCTGTGGCTCTTCCTCCGGTCCTGAAGACACACACCTCCAGCCGGCACCCCTGCCTGCAGCGGGTGTCTCCTGTAGGGCAGGTCTGCACAACCAGCTCGCTCTTCCCCTTCCCTCCCACGGCGTGTTGTTGTGAGACGGAACTCTAGGCTCACCGGGCTTGTTTTCTGGCACTTTCAAGATCCTGTTTCTCCTTCTTCTGGCCTCCGTGGCTTCTCATCAGAAGTCTGGTCGCTCAGACTGCCGCCCCACTGCACTGGTTTCATTATTACCTGTCAACTTCTGGGTTTCTTTCTCTGCCTTTCACAGTTTAACTATGACCTGTCCAGACACGGGCTTCTTTAGATTTGCCCTGTTTGGGTGGTCACTGCATTTCCTGAATCTGTAAATTCAATCTTTTCCCTAAATGTGAGAAATTTTCAGCCAGTCTTTCTTCAAAAAATTGCCTTCCCTGCTCTGTTTCTTCTCCCTTAGGGTTTCATAACACAATGTTGGATCTTCTGATCCTGTCACACAGCTGGTAACTTCCTCTCCTCTCCAGACCGGATGGCTTCTGTTGGCCGATCTTCTGGCTCACTCGGCTCGGTCTTCCCTCGGATGCCACCTACCTGCTCGAGAGGCTGCTGAGTAATGTTTTAGATTTCTCAGCCCTGAAATTTGCATTTTGTTCTTTTGTATACTCTACTCCTCAGCTGAGATCCTTCCATCTGTTTCCAGCGTGTTCGACTTTACCTTCTGTGACATGGTGACGATAATTGCTTTCACGTGTTTTTCTGATAATTCCACCACCTGGATCTCAGAGTCGGCATCTGTTGATTGTCCTTCCCTTGGAAATGGTCACGTTTCCATAATTCTTTGTATGTTGAGTAACTTGGGATCGTAAATTCGGCATCTTGGCTGCCATGTTGTGTAGACGCTGGGTCAGTCCTCTGGAGAGTGCGGAGGGTTTCAGCAGCCTGTTCACCTGGCTAGTCTAGGCCACAGGCTCCGCCGGGCTCCCGTGGCCAGTGCGTCCAGGGTTCTCGTGCATGTGATGCAGATGGGGTGCCAGGGTCTCCCTCCTGAGTTTGGGGTGCAGCTGATGAGTGACCACGGAGAGGAGCTGGCACCACCAGAGGCCGGTGTTGTCTTGACAATGCCTGACACCATGTCCGATGTCCCCACCCTCCCTGTGGGACGGACAGGGTTGCAGGGAGACCCTACGGGGTGGCCATAGGTGGGAAGGGGACAAATGCCTCCCCGGGGGAGGGCACAGAACCAGGCCAGGGTGCCCCATCCATCCCAGGCACTCCCCCATCTCATCCTGGGTGCCCCCTCCCCAGCCCCCCATTCTCTGCTGTTATGTACGTCCCCTGTTGCCTGTACTGGGGACCAATGTGCATCCAACCAAAATGGCCCCAGTGCCTGGCCCTTCCCCCTGCCCACTCGCTCTTGTCCCAGACCTACGGCCCCCCCGGGCAGCCTTCTCTGGTCAGACGGCTCCACGTCCGCCCCCCGTGATCCTCTCCCACCTGTACTCCCAGCCCCCACTGATCTTGGGTAGGAAACCAGCTCTGCCACCAGGGTTTGAACTCAATCATCTAATATCCGCGGGTCCTACGTCCGTAGATTAGAATGAAGTCGGGTCAGGCTCATATGGCTGGTGTTTTAGGACCAGGGCTCAACGCTGGGCAGGATCAGCGTGGGTCTCATCCTGGCAGGAGGGGCCATGATTGCCCCTTATACGTACACACACAGGGGGCTGGCAACCTTCAAGGCCAGAGCCCAGGAGTCAGCTCAAGGTCACGCGGAGTTTTGGGGCAAAACCTCCCTTGGTGAACAAAATAAACACGTAAAAAGAAAGTGGGTGATTAAGTGGTAGGCAGGATCGAACTTCTCAAACTGAGAGAGGACCAGGTTCCTCCCCCGATTCCTAGGTTGTTTCAGGAGAGGAGGAGCCCCTGGCCCGTGCTGCTGCGGGACGGTAGTTGTGTCCCATCCCAGGGAGCAGGCGGTGCCCAGGCAGTGGGCTGTGCAGACCTGGGCAGGCTGCAGGCGCTCACCAGGAGGGCAGTTGGCACCGGGCAGCCCCAGTGGGGACACCACCGGGGAGGCCAGTCAGTGCACTGGGCTGGGCAGGCTGCACAGACAAGCCCGAGCTCTGGGGGCCTGGGGAGCAGATGGAAAGGAGAGGGATCCACCCCGCTGGCGGAGGTCTGTCTCCCCCCGCCAAGCAGGCCATCCGTTCCCTCCATGCCCTCGGACAGGCAGCTGCAGTGGGACGGGATCACCGGATGGAAAGGCAGCCTGCTCCTCCCTGACTGTCAGGTCTGCCCTCAGGACCCCTGTGCAGGCTTGGGGACAGGTGGCTGTGTTACCAGCAGCCAGACTGGGAATGGCAATGCCTGTTTCCTGCCAAATCCCTCAAATCAGCAGACAGAGAGCCCCCTCCTGGCTGAGGCATGCATTACATCTCAAAATCCTGTCAACCCCTCTGCAACTGGGCTGCATCCCATCATGCCCTCTAGCTGACGGGCATGGAAGCCCCCCTGAGGTGGGACAACCCCATCTTTCTCCCTGCCGTTGCCTGCTGGCTCCCTGGGGCCTGGGGCTTGCCACCCGGGTACCGGGGCTCTAAACCGCCCCCCCTCCTGAAGGCACCCAACTGACAGCCCTCCCTGTGAGGGCCCTGAGGCCGGCCGTGGGGAATGAGTCCGCTGGCGTCCCTTCTACAGGCAGCTGCCCAGGGGTGGTGGCCAGAGCACGGGGCACCCTCAGTGCTGGAGCCCCGGAACAGCGAAGGCCTCCAGCTGCCGCTGCGTCCCCAGCCCCTGGGCGGGTGCTCTCAAGTGAATCCCTTTGGGGGCGTGGGGGTTGTGTTCCAGGGACCCTCAAGGAGCCACACTTGAACCCACCCAGGTACCCCGTGGGCCCCACTCCATGAGGCAACAGACCATGCAGGCATCAGCTTTAATAGGGGGCTGGCCCGTCTGGGGCTCCCTCCTTGTCGGGAGTGAAATGTCGGCAGGATTGTCTAATACCGTAACGAACCGTTAACTAGGGAAGCCATTTCCAGCCTCCGCAGTGTGTGGCCGGAGGCTGTTGGCTGGGGGGGGGCGGGGCGGGGAGCCCTGGGTCTCTGGCAGATTCCTGAGCCCAAGCTGCAGGGAGTCCCAGACAATGGGGGGGCCACACCCACCAGAGGGGAGCCCGTGAGCACCTCCGGGAACCCCAGCAGCGCCTCTGGCTCTCTGGGAACAGCCTTTGCAGCGGGCCGGGCCTCTGCACCCAGGCCCACAGGTGAGGAGGCCCGGTCAGGGCTCCCGCGGCCGTCACTCCACAGGGACGCGTCCCTCCTGGTCCGGCATCCCCAAACGCCGACACAGAAGGGGAGAGCTTTCCACCCCCGAACCGATGGGGAAACTGGGCGGGTCAGGACGCGCCCCGCCAGCTGGCGGGAGCGGCGGAAGTGGAAAAGGTAAGGGAAAGAAGCTAGGTCTGACGCGCCTTCCAAAGAGAGCGAGCTGGGGAGGTGGCGGCCTGCGGAGCCTTGCGGGGCGGGGGACAGGAGCGTGGCCAGCACCAGGAGCCGCGGGCCTGCCTGTGGCCGCAGGGGAATCACAGCCTCAGAAGCTGGGTTTGGCTGGAGGCTGGGAGTGTTGCCGTTCGGTCCCGAGAGGAGAGCGAGACAGCAGCGCAGGCAGAGGCTCTGCAGAGCCGCCCCGTGTCAAGCCCTGCGTGCGCGTCGCTGCTCCAGCAGCACCCGCCCGGCCTGGCGCCGGCCCCGGGGAGCCGGTCGGTTGGGCCGTGCACCGAAGCTCTGTGGGCCCCAGTCTCGGGGCGTCCCCACCAGTCCCACGCAAGAAGGCCGAGTTAGGAGGCTGCCACCAGGTCCCCCTGTTGAGGCCTGGCCTTGACGGGGACTTTTTCTGTAGAGGAAAGAAAGAGGGGTTTGTCGAGTATAGAAGACCCCACGGGAAGAAACTTCCAGAGGAGAAGGAAGGCGGCAAGGAGCCAGGTCCCAGGGCTGTACGCGGGGCTGATGGGTGGGGACCTCGGACACAGCGGCCCTTCACAAGCACTCAGGAGCCCCGCGAGGAGGGACAGGGAGGGGCAGAAAGAAAGGCAAAGGGACCACCAGCCACCAGGGCCCTAGCGGGGTGGGGGGGCCACAGGGCCATGCCACATAGAGAACAGCTGGTCCTGGGGTGGACCCGGCCTTTTCCCAGCTCTGCCTGCGGGACACGCCTACCTGAAGGCTCTTACAAGCCCCCCCCCCGCCCCGCACCAGAAACCGGGCCCAGCCCCCGAGCAGGCCTACAGGCCGCCTGAGCCCCTCACCCACCCAGCTGGGGAGGCAGGAACCAACTCCCACCAAGTGGAAGGGCGGAAGCCTGCAGCCGGGGCATTCCACTTTGTTCTAGAAGGCACGGCCCTTCACGGGACAGAACAGGAAGCATACCTGGCTTCTTCTCGGGGAGGGGCTCTGAAGGGACCTCGGGGAGGTCTATCTGCTCCTGCAAGAGGCAGAGGGAGAGGCGCTGAGACCATCTCAACGAGAGCCCTGCTGTGGAAAGTTCCAGAGCTCCTTCTCCTCAGCTTCCGGCAGCCCTGAGACTGGATTCACCCCAGGGCTTCCCTAGAGATCCCAGTTCACACCCTGGCCGTACAGGACTGACGGCTTCAAACCGGGCGCCCACGCAGCTCGAAGGGCGGAGGGGCAGCGCCGGGGCCGGGTCTGGGGCAGGCCAGCCACCCGGGGGCACTGGGCTGCGTCTCGGACAACACACGGCGGGTTCGCCCCTAGCTGGCTGCTCGGGCTGCTTAGGGGACACCTGGGTCCTCGGGAGGAAGCACACCAGAGGGCAGAGGGTGGCCACACCAACCCCCTGCTCGGCCCGCAGGCCCAGGGAACGGCGGGCTGGTGGGTGCAGTGAGAGGCACCCTGAAACCATGGTCCCGAGATGCAGAGCCCTCGCTCAGGGAGCGCGCACGCCTCGGGCCCGCACGGAGCCAGGCCACAGGTAGAGGGGCGCGGGCCCCGTGCTGCCCAGGGTGTGGCCTGGCCATGGCGGGAAAGAACGCCTATGTGATCGAAAACCCACACGCTGTCCTCCAGGCGGGTGAGGTGTGAGCAGCCAGCACTGCCCTCCAGGGACAAATGCTCAGCCGCGGCAACCTTCTTGGGTGGCCCGGCCGCCTGAGGAACTGTTACCGCGGGGCCAGGCTCTCCCTGCTGCCACGGGGCAGAGGAGGAGCGGCCTCAGCTTAGCACAAATTCTACTTCTCCTAGGAAGGAACACCAGTTGCAAAACCAGGATTGTGTGCTCATGTGAAGCACCCCCATGCTCAGTCCTGCGGCTCCCATCACCTGAGTGAGTGATCGCGCTCAGTCCAGGGGTCCCGTCACCTGAGTGATCGCGCTCAGTCCGGGGGGTCCCGTCCCCTGAGTGATCGCGCTCAGTCCTGGGGCTCCCGTCCCCTGAGTGATCGCGCTGAGTCCTGGGGGTCCCGTCCCCTGAGTGATCGCACTCAGTCCGGGGGGTCCCGTCCCCTGAGTGATCGCGCTCAGTCCTGGGGGGTCCCGTCCCCTGAGTGATCGCGCTCAGTCCGGCGGGTCCCGTCCCCTGAGTGATCGGCTCAGTCCTGGGGCTCCCGTCACCTGAGTGATCGCGCTCAGTCCTGGGGCTCCCATCCCCTGAGTGATCGCGCTCAGTCCTGGGGGTCCCGTCCCCTGAGTGATCGCGCTGAGTCCTGGGGGTCCCGTCCCCTGAGTGATCGCGCTCAGTCCTGGGGCTCCCGTCCCCTGAGTGATCGCGCTGAGTCCTGGGGGTCCCGTCCCCTGAGTGATCGCGCTCAGTCCTGGGGGTCCCGTCCCCTGAGTGATCGCGCTCAGTCCTGGGGGTCCCGTCCCCTGAGTGATCGCGCTCAGTCCTGGGGGTCCCGTCCCCTGAGTGATCGCGCTCAGTCCTGGGGGTCCCGTCCCCTGAGTGATCGCGCTCAGTCCTGGGGGTCCCGTCCCCTGAGTGATCGCGCTCAGTCCTGGGGGGCCCGTCCCCTGAGTGATCGCGCTGAGTCCTGGGGGTCCCGTCCCCTGAGTGATCGCGCTCAGTCCTGGGGGTCCCGTCCCCTGAGTGATCGCGCTGAGTCCTGGGGGTCCCGTCCCCTGAGTGATCGCGCTGAGTCCTGGGGCTCCCGTCCCCTGAGTGATCGCGCTGAGTCCTGGGGCTCCCGTCCCCTGAGTGATCGCGCTGAGTCCTGGGGCTCCCGTCCCCTGAGTGATCGCGCTCAGTCCTGGGGCTCCCGTCCCCTGAGTGATCGCGCTGAGTCCTGGGGGTCCCGTCCCCTGAGTGATCGCGCTCAGTCCGGGGGGTCCCGTCCCCTGAGTGATCGCGCTCAGTCCTGGGGGGTCCCGTCCCCTGAGTGATCGCGCTGAGTCCTGGGGGTCCTGTCACCTGAGTGATCGCGCTCAGTCCGGGGGGTCTTATTACCTGAGTGATTGCATTCAGCTCCTCCAGGATGGCATCTTCATCCTCCTGAGTGAAGCTTCCTGCCAGCAGCTCATCTATTTGCTGCAAAGGAAGGAGCAGAGGTGAGGACCGTGGCCAGGCGGGGGTGGAGGGCGACGTGGCCGCTTGAGGAGGAAGGAGGCAGTCCGTCGCTCAAGGCCCCCCTCGCTGAGAGGAGGCGAGCGCCAGCAGCTTGGGAAGGCACAGCCCTTGAGGGCGGCCGGGCACTCGGGGTTGGGGACGCCCCCGCTGGCCCAGTGACACCTACCCGCTGGTACTCCACGGCCTCCTGGGTCTCCTCCAATATCCGCTCCACTTCTTCTATGGACATCACCTGATCGGTTGGGAGGCTCGTCAGTGAGGCAGGTAACAGCCCGTCACGCGGGGTCACCCGGACTGACAGGGCACGAGCCAGGCCAGGCGGATGCGATGTGGCTCTGGGAGTTTCTGCTGCAGGCCGGCCCCGCCCGCAGGGGCTCTGGGGCCCTGGGGCTCGCTCTTTTCAGAAGCCTCGCCTGCACTGCCCAGACTCCCGCTGGCCCGTTGCCCCCAGACCCTCGGGCTCCCCAACCAACCCGAGCAGGTCCAGGTAGAAATAAGTAAAACTTGACTTGATTTCTTCTAGGTTCAAAGGAACACGCGGACTTGCTGGGCTGGGACACACCGGGACAGCCGGGAAAGCCGTGGGTGCATCGCCATCTGCTCGTCACCTCTCCGGTGGCCCAGGGCCTCTCTGGGCCTCACCTCCCCTTTGGCCACCCACACCTGGGCTGCTTCCTGTGATGAGGGCGAGTTCACCTCCTCCGGGAAGCCCTGCCAATTAGTTCGCACACCCTCACGCTCTCACTGGACTCTGCCTCTACCTGGGCACGTGGACCCACTTTATCATCTGCGTCTGTCACCCCATTCTCGGGTCATCACCCCGAGTGAGTCTGCCCCCAACACCCTCTCCCGGGAGCCACCGGCTTGCCCACATTCCCACCTGGCACAAACGCCTCTTTGGCAATGGCCTGGGCATGGGTGTGGCCTCAGGAACAAGCCCCGCCCCCTCCTTCCACAGAGCCCTGTCCTCTCCCCTCCCCCACCCCCGGCCCAGGACCCACCTGGTGCATCTTCTTCAGACACTCATTTCCAATCTGCAGCCCTTCGACCACCTTCATTTCAATCTGGGTGAACTCAATATTCTGGACCTGGGCGGGAGGGCAAAGCGGAGCGGGCAGTCAGGGGCCTGCCTTCGGCACCCCTGCCCCCACCTCCCCCCCCCACGTGTCCCCCCCCCACCCCACCCCCGCCTCCCTGCTGGCCCCGCCCCCGCCTACCATCGTTTCCAGGCTGGTGATCTGGTTTTCTGTCTTGTCCAGAAGCTGCTCCCGGTACCGCTTCTTCTTGAGCAGCAGCTTGGCCCGTCTGCAGAGGGAACGGGCAGGAACCCGGCAGCCGTGCCCGTCGGCTGGCCTTGCCTGGCACTAACCTCCCGCCCGGCCGACCCCCCCCAGGCCCCCAGGGGCCCAACACCCGCTGTTGCACAGCCTGCCCAGGGCCCTACTCACTCCTTCCTCCCGTCCCGCAGGAGCTGCCGGGCGATCTCCCGCTCCCTCTCCAGCTGCTGGGTGATCCTCCTCTGGTACTGCTTCAGCTTATCTCGCTGCTGCTTCAGTTGCTGCGCGAGAGAGCAGGCCCGGTCCGCACACACGCTGCCCCTGCCCCCCCGCACCGGCCCCCCCTTAGCACCTGGCCGGCCGCCCCGCCCTCTGAAGCACAGTTCTACGTGGGGACAAGTCTGCCCCCCAGGGCACGCGTGGCAGCGTCTGGAGACACCTGCGGCTGGGGGGGCTGGGGGAGCTGCTGCTGGCGTCAGCGGGCGGAGGCCAGGGACGCCGCTTGCATCCTGCCGTGCCCGGGCTGGCCCCGGCACAGACGGTGACCCAGCCCGGTGTCCACAGCGCAGAGGTGCGGATCAGAGAGTGTCGCCAGTGCCTCAGAGGTTCAGAGGCAGCACAGAAGGGCCCCAGAGAGCCAGCGCGCTACCCGGCCACAGCGAGGGTCTGGGGCCTCCCCTCCCGGCTTCAGACATTCCTGCCATCAGGGAACACACAGATGGCGCATCTGCAGGCCTGGCCTCGCCAAGCACCCAGGACCCTCGTGTACTGTCCCGGAAAGGGTGGACTGCCGTTTACACGTCAGTCAACTCTGCCTTTTCTTAGGCCATTCCATTTCTTCCAAATTTCATCACTTCAGACAGGGCATTTCTCAAACGTAGGTTTTATCTTTAGGATCCGTTGCTGTGACTTAACTAAAGCAAGGCGCAAGTGTTTCTTTAAGACTCAGTATAGTGAGAACTCTCCTGCTAGTGTAGACATGTCTGCAGGGGCTTCTCAGGGTCCCTCCAAGCACATTCTCCGGCGCACCAGGTGGCCTGTGGGTCGGGCCAGATGGCTGCACGCCTTCTCCTTGCTTGCAGTGAAAGGTGCCCACCATCCTGGCCCCACGGCCCAGAGACACCATGGCTAGCCTGCGTGGCCAGTCTTCTCAGCTGTGGCTGCTGGTCCTCCCCAGGGGCTGACCCCACCCCTACCCCTGCCCCTCCGCACCCCTGCCCCCGGGGCCATTAACCCAGCTGGCAGAGTACAAAGTACGGAAGAAGCTAAAAGCAGCAGGTGTGGCCAAGCTGCCATATTTGCAAAACAAGGGGTATCGGTGGAGGGTCACGGGACAGCACACTGGGGCATGGAGTTTCTCAGCTCAGCTTTCCATCCTAGGAACACACCACACAGTAATTTGTTTTATGGTGTGCAAACCGCGTTGTTAAAGCCTGGACTGCACCAAACCATCCCTGCCAAGTAGAAAGGCCTGGAAGAGAACCCAAAGGGGAGTCCTGGAAGAGAGTCACCTCGGGGGCTCCCGCCTGCCAGAGCTCTCCGCCAGGGATGCCTGCCTCCCTGCCGGGCGCCCCACTTCCCATGCAGCACCCCGCGCTGTTCGGGTTTTCTCTAGCGAAGCATGCCTGTTTCTTCTCTATCTGGGGAGCTTCGGCTAAGAATCTTTTATGACAGGGTTTCAGAAACCGGGTGTGGGGGGGGGATCTGTCATTTGTTTCTCTCTTAGTACAAAATCACGTATTTTTGCTGCAGAAATTTTTGGGAAGAAAGCAAAGGTACACTCTGCTCAAATTCTGGACCACCTCCTTCCTGGTCGTGCTTCTCCTTGCAAACTGGGTTCCTCTTGACGCGCCTTTGCACGGAAACGAACTTTCCTCCCGGAGCCCCCCGGGAACAGCGGCGCCGAGGCCGCGGCGGACGAGCCCACCGCCCTCGCTCAGCGCCGGGGCACCGCAGGGGCCGCACACGCTCGGCCCCAGAACCGGCAGCGGCCACACGGCGGGGCGGCCCGGAACGTGGGGCTCGGGACCCGCCACCTGCGAGCGCGCGCTCCCCGGGACACCAGGTGTGACCAGGACTCGGCGCGACACTCGGCGCCGCCCCCCCGAAACCGCGGCTCCGTCTAGTCCCCGCGCCGGTCGCCGGCAGCCCGCGGTCCGGCGCTGCGACGCGGCCGCGAGAAGCCCGCCCGGCGGAGCGGCAGGCCGTCCCGCGGCCGCAGCTCCGCCTCGGTCTCCCCGCCGTCGCCGCGGGGCCCGGCTCTCACCAGGACGGCCTTGTCTTGCTCTGTGACCCGGCTCTGCTTCTTGCGGCCGAACAGGTTGCCCATGGCGCCCCGGCCCGCGGCCCCGCCCGCCGCCCCCCTCCCGGCCTCCGTACCCCGGCCCCGCCCCCCTACGGCGGCCGCGCAGGGCCAGGCGCCGCGGAAGGCGAAACGTGTGCGGGCGAGAGGACGGCGGGTCTCGGGTTCGAATCCGCCCTCGCACTGCTGGCAACGGTGACACAGTGACACTGCAGGCTCGGCCCGGGCAGCCCTAGTTGATGCATTTCACGTGCACTTGCAGAACGTCCCCAGCGGTGCAAACGAAGACTGAAAGTTCCAGTCTCCTGTTTAGGTGCGATCCTTGCACGGTAACCGGCAGAAGGTCTCCACAGCCCCCCGGCTGGTGCTGACCGCGAAATGCTGCGTTTAGTGCTGTTATGTACGACCTGTGGGCTTACAGGTGTCCACGGAGACGCCACCTGGGCAGCTCATGTCCACGCGGCCCCGCGGCCCGGCTGTCTCAGCTCCTGGTTCTGTGTCCCCCCACCTTGCAGAAGCCTCTGGCCCTTGGGGGTAAAACCCTTCAGGAGGCTTTGCAGGGGGAGCTACTGACCTCCGCAGCCCCGGTTCCCACCTGTGCATTCTGGCTGTGGGCCCCGCGTTCGGGGGGTGCGCAGCCCGATCAGCCTCTCCGGACCATCCTGATGACGGAGCATAAGGCAGGCGGAGGGCCGAGCCCCCGCCCGCATCCCCCCCCCCCCCCAGGTGGGTTGTGTGTGACACTCCTCAGGCACTCCTGGCTGCTCAACGACAAAGGAAAGGATAGAAAACAAATGGTTAGCCTGTCGTTAAGAGCCTCTATCGGTTTATAAATATCTTAATACAGTTACAAAAACCGGGCAATCTTATATATAAGTCCAGGGACTCCCTACTGTGTTCATGTTAATGCTTTGCTAGAGGGAGAAACAACCTTAACTTGACCACAGAGAGGCCTCCAGGAATCTGAGAGTCTTTAGCACATGAAAGTCTCTTTGGAAACCTCCCCCAAGTCCACAGTATATAACCAGTCCCTCCTCACGACCCCAGTGCAGCTCTTCCCGCCCACGGGTCCCATCCCGAGTAGTGAGTTTAGTAAGTTCACCTTTTTGCACCAAACACATCTACAAGAATCCTCTCTTGGCTGTCAGCTCGGAACCCCACCATCGCCCCGGAACTTCTTCAGTCCTGTACCCTAGTCTGTAATGGGCCAGCCTAGTGGCTCGTGGGCAGCGGGCACCTAAGTGAGCAATCCCACAGCATGAGCCCGATGCCTCACTTCCTTCTGTGAAATGACTTCCTGGGTCACAAGCTGTGCCGTGCGGGCAACGTGACGGCCAGCCTCCAAGTCACACCGGCGCCGCTCTGGCCGCAGCACTGCAGGCGGGAAGGCAGGTCCATATCCAGAGGAAGTGCTTATTCCAGTGAGGACAAGTCCCTGGCTCATGATGAGGGGGTTCTGATTAGCCAGCCCGCCATCAGGTGGCTGGCTGGTACCACAGGGAGTGGTGCTATTTGGGGGGTTCAGTGCTGCTGACCAGCTGGACACTCAGAAGTCGTGGTGGCCAGGTGAGCCCCCAGCCTCCATCCCTGCTCCCACGGCCACATTGTTCGTGGGCCCACCGAGCACTGGGAGGCAGGGGAAAGGCCTTCAGTGCGGTGAGTCACGTCAGGTTCTGGTCACCTGTCATATGAGGCAGGTGCTATTCCAGGAGGCTGCCCGTATATTTCGTTCTGGACACCCTGACACTCTGATTAGCCAGAGATATCTGTGATCCAGCACCGTGAGCCTCAGTGTGTCCCAGCCGCCTGTTAGAGTAGGTCCCAGCCTTGGTCGGAGACGGCTGTGGGACCACACAGCCTGCCCGGGGCAAAGAAAGGCTCCAGACAGAGGCTGAGAGCCAGAGCTGGTCCGTAGGAGAGCCCACCAATTGGCCAGGAAACTCACTAGGGGGCACATGGGAGCCGCAGAAACGCTCCTCCAGGGCTGAGAATCTTGCTGGATGTGGGACAGGCTGGAGGAGGTTGGCCAGAAGCAGCTACAGGTGGGGAGGAACTCACCGAACAGCCTCCCGCGTCCCGCCCCCTGGCAGCGGAGAGGCAGCTGGAGACAGCAAGGGAGCCCCTTCCTCTGCCTGGCCCGGCAGTGTGGCTCCAGCACTGTGCTGCTGAAGTCCCCGTCAAGCCAGCTGGCAAAGGAGAAATGCCGGCCGGTCTGGCTGCCCCGTCACCAGCCGGCCAAAGTAGCGGAGTCCCGGGTAAGCCTTCACACGCGGCTCGAGTGGTGCTCCGTGACTTCCGGACGCTCAGTCGTGGAACTCAGCCCCCAAGTCCAAGGGGCCTGGCCTGCGTGGAGAGGGCTGCCAGTCAGCATCCCTTGCTAGCCACGCGGGGGCGCTGCGGTCTCGGAAAGGCAGGTTTCCGGCTGAGCCTTCCCGGTGGGTCGGCCTGCACGTGTTCATATTCCGTTAGGGACCTCGTGGCAGATCTCTCTTCGCCCGATCTGGATTATCTGCTTAGCGATTGGCGCGAGCTTTCCCAGACTGTCCATCGTTCTCGGACCGGGGGCACCTGACCAGCTGGCCAGTGGCGAAGATGTCCCTCATGACTGCTGCTCCCACAGCTGAGCTCGGCTCACCGCTGGGTCTTGCCCCTCTGGTTCCCAGGGGAAATCAGGGGACCCAGTTTTGATGGCAGCACCTCTACTGTCATTCCTGGCCCGCAGAGCGCTCTTCAAGGGCCTGAGGTCCTCACCAAGGGCTTCTCAGGGCCTCTGTCGAGGCAGTGTGCTTTGGGCCACAGTGAGAGACTCAGGCCAGGTCCTCACCTGCCTGAGTCCTTGGGGTCTTTCCCATGTTATGTTATAACAAGCCACTTCTGGCGGCTCAACTGTGCTAAAATCCGAGTTTCCAGGAACAAAGGGGCAAACTGTCAAGGAAGGCCCATCACAACTGAAAGCAAGTGGTGGGGCCCAGGGGGTCGGCAGGGGGCCACCGCTGGGAGCTGCCATGCGCGCCTGTGCGGACCTTCTGCGGCTCTCCGGCTTGTCGGCAAAGTCTTGGTGTTCCTGGGGTGCGGTCTTGAGGAGAACCAGGTCCCCTTAGCAAGTAACTGCCTGGGTGTGGTCTGCATGTGGGGGGTGGGGCTCTGTCCGGGAGGAGGGTCTCCTCTGCTGCCAGCCAGGCCTCCTGGCGGCGGGGCGATTGCTCATAGGTCTCTGTACACACACCCCTGCCCTCCCTCCACTCCAGGCTCTGACCTGGCGACACTCAGTGTGCTCTGGGACCCTACGAGCCAGGGACGAGGCCTGGGGAATGAGTTCCGGTCCTGCCCCAAGAAACATGGTCTCCTTTCATAGCAGCCCTCTAACATTTTCTGATTTTCTGAGTCCACCTTGAAACTGGAGATTGAAAGCACCTTGCTTTAAAAACGTAATCTGCCCAGGGCGGCCAGAAATGAGCAGCCCGCCCCACCGTTCCCCAGGGCGCTGCTCTCCGGCTGTCCCCGGACGCTGGCTGTCAGGAAGCACCCCCTTCCCCGCAGTCGGAGGCGCGCCTTGACACAGCACGTGTCGCTGCCCAAACCCTATTTTTCACAGACAGCGATCGGCTGCTCAGGCGGCCGCGACAAATTGCACAGACCTAGCGGCCGAAACAGAGCCTACTGCCCCACAGTCCAGCGGCCGGTGTGCAGGTGGGGGCAGGGCCCGTTCCCTCTGGGGCTCTGGGGGGGGGGGTCTGGCATCTTGGCTTGTAGGCGCATCACCAGGGTCTCTGCCTCTGTGGGCACACGGGCTCCCCGCGTGCGTGTCACTGCCCAGATTTTCCCTTTTCACAAGGTACCACTCATACCGGGTGAGGCCCCCCGATGCCCTCCTGGTGTCTTTGTTACATCTGTAAAGACCCTGTTTCCAAATCAGATCACAGTCACAGGTACTGGGGGTAGGAATGCAATCTATGAATTTGGGGGGGGTCACAGTTCAACCCATAGCGCGATAAGGAGCTTATCATTTCCTACGACGCATGCTGGGTTCCTGCCTTCGAGGGTCCCTTGGAAGCGGTGATACAAACAGCTGCCTCACTCACCTTCGCTCGGTCACCTCTCTGCGCATCTCAGGCTGAAGGCTGTGACACGGAGATTCAGTGCTCCTACATCACCGGGGGGCCGCAGGGATGAAGGCGGGGTCCCATCACTGGATCTCCTGGGCACAGAGACTCCACAGTTTGCTTGGCATCAGTGACCACTGTCTCCAGCCCTGGGCGACACAAAGGCCCGCGGCGGGCTCACCGCTGCCAGGGGGCGACCGCTCGGATACCCCTAAGGGTGGAAAGCAGCCCAGAATCCCGATGTGGCTTCCGGGGAAGGTTCCAGTGGGGAGGTGGCATTTGGGGTGGCCATTCCAAGACGCGCAGACCCAGGGGACGGCAGTGTGAAAACGTGGTTTTTGTGGTGAGCCACCATCCACAGGGGCGCTGGCGGCCCCCATGGAGTGACCCCAGGCCTTCTGGTGCAGGTGACATAAGCTGAACTTGAGCCAGCTCGGGCTGGGGGGGAGCCCACTGCGTGGGGACGAGACGCCCCCTCTGCGCACCGGGTCCTGGTGCTCTGGACCTGCTCCCCGACATGCGCTCTGATTGGCCTCCCTCCCTGGGCCGGGGAGGCTGATTGGCTGAGCCTGGATGTCTGGACTTCCTCTTCTCGTGGCCCCAGGACACCTGCTGTCCCCGACAGAGCCTTCGTGGGGGCTGTGGGTCATGCTAACGCCCGGCTCAGGCCAGGACACCCCGGTGGAGGCCGAGTTGGGGGCCGGCTTCTGGGGTACATACGTGTGTTAAGAGTTTTCAGGGGTTCTGGTCAGGGGATCCTGGGGGTCAGACTACGGAGGCAGTGACAGAAATAGAAGAGAATATGGGAGGAGCAAGGGAACATTCTGGAAGAAGTCAAAGAATCTGGGCAAATTCCCAGGGATTGGGTGTGAGTCCAGGAAATGGTGTTGAAGATGCAAGTGAGGGTGTTGGCTTGACCCCCGCGTGGACACTGCGGTGGACCCT